CGATTCTGTAAGTTTGAAATTTTTATTATTTTGTAGAAAGATATGATGAACAGATCAATGTAGAAATCATAATACTTGTGTCAATTGATCATCTAAAATGAATACAGAAAGAAATAGAATAGTTTACAAGAGTCTGCAATAAAGACAAGATAAACGTCTGTACTTGTATTTCTTCAAAAGTATAAGTGTCTGTAGTAGAGATTGTACCGGTTCTCTCGCTTCACTCTTGTTTTTATTGCTACACTAAGACATTCAAAAAGAACAGAACTGTGAATTTGTGTTTATCTGTTAGATCACTTGACAAATAAGTCATTTATTTCGATATATATTATTCGCCTTTCCACACATAGTTCAGTTTTATCTATAGAAGTCTTCAATATTTTATAAAACTAAACATTTTCTTTCTTTTTTTTTAGGCTGTACATAAAATTGTTACAGCAGATTTTAATGATGGTTGTATAATGGATATTCGTTTTAATGGTCAACTTCTTGATTTATTAAATGGCTCATCATCTTCAGATATGAAATGGACATTTCAATCAAATATAAAAGAAGGTTGTGATAATCTTGATAATTGGTGTCGTGGTGTACAATGTCGTTCACCAGCATTTTGTGTAAATACATGGAGACATGGCCAATGTCAATGTACAGATACATATAAATATAATCCAGCAAATGAAACATGTAGTTTATATGATTGGTGTTCTGATATAACAAATCCATGTCATATGCCAGGTACTAAAAATTGTTTATATGAAGCTCGTGAAGATACAATAAAATGTGAATGTAAATCACGTTGGCAAGGTGAACGTTGTACAATAAAAGCTATGCCATTAGCTGGAACATTTAATTGGCAAATAATAGCTTCAACTATATTCTGTCTTATAGCTATATTACTTCTTGTTCTATTACTTGTTTTAATAACACGACAAAGACAATCGAAAAAAGCTTATATACTTGGTATGGATGATGAAATACGAGATAATATTATAAATTATGATGAAGAAGGTTGTCCAGATGAAGATCCTGTTACATATGATATATCAACATTAAAAAAACCAGTATTTTCAGCAAATGGAAATGCAAATCAAACTCGTAATGGTAGACAAAATTCTGAATCAGAAAGTAAACCATTATTAAAAACAGTTCCCGATGGAAATAATCCAATGGATTCATCGAAAAAAAATGCAATAAGAAAAGATATGCCACCTATTCCAGCACCAAAACCTAATCTAAATAAAAATCAAACAAATGGTTTAAGTAATGGTATTAATGTTGGAGAATTTATTAAAGGTCGAATACGTGATATTGATGATGACCCATCACAACCACCTTATGATAGTTTACAAGAATATGCTTATGAAGGTGAACCATTAGCACGAAATGAAGAATGTACATTATCAACATTGACTATAACATCAAAAGATCAGAATGATATTGATAAAGAACTAGAACTTGAATATTTAAAAAATATGGGACCAAAATTTCAATATATTGCTAAACTTTATGCAGGCAATGGAGAGAAAGAATCTTAATAATAAAAAAAAAAATTTCTTTTAATATACTGATAGAAAATACAGTATTTGAACAGGTCCCATGTTTTTTGTTTTTCTTCTATTTTTTTATTCATTGCCATTGTATAGTCAGTCGTCATCATCATTGTTTGTTTTGTTTTGTCAAAGTTTTTCTGTTTAATGTCAGATACATATTAGATGTAGTCTGTGGTTTTCTTTTTTAATTATAATATTGTTGTTGTTGGTTTTTTGCCCATTTTTTTTTTCTTTTCGACTATATTCGCATACATAATAAATTTTGACAAGAAAGAATTTTAACGAAAAATTTCGTCTTGAAAAAATTTTAAACAATTTTCATTAGAGATACAAAATGAATAGATTTCATACTATACGTTATCATATAATTGTACTCAATAAGATAGTATTTTAATCATTAATCTAGCATAACATTGGCATCTCTATTAGAGGCATCATGTGGCTTCTAATATGCAGGGGAGGGGGAATTAATATATTTTGAGAGATCAAAATAACAAGTTCTTTAAGAGCATACAGTACCCAACCTATGATATTTGAAAAATGTCAAAAAAACTAACGGATTAGGTACGAAATTTTTGATTTTTTTTTTACTATATCATGTTCTTGCGTTGAAAAATCAAGTAGCTTATCGAAATATCAAAGGTAACATCATAAGATTGATTACAATCGTTAGATAAAAGAAAACAAATCTTCAATTACATTTCAATCAATGGCTAGTGAAATTTCATTAGAAAATGTTCTTCGTAAATGTAATGATTTAGGTAGATATCAAATCATACATTATATTTTCTTGAATTTAATTACAATTGGTAGTGGTATAACAACATATTATTATGTATTTGGTGTTGCAGAAAATTCTTATCGTTGTCGTTTACCTGGAAATATATGGTTAGATGATGATCAATATGAATCAAAGAATAGTACACATCAATATTTAATAAATCAATGGCAAAAAATATCAAAATGTAATAATTACAATGATACGATTTGTACAAGTTTTGTTTATGATCGAAATACTTTTGGTCGAACATTTACTGAAGAAGGAGATTTTGTTTGTCAAAATAAATTAAAAAAAACTTGGCTTTCAACAATGTATCAAGTTGGGGGGTAAGAAAAATAAATTTATGTAATATGTATTAATCAATAATTATAATATAGATTTGTTGTTTTACTCAGTGGATATATTTGTGATAAAATTGGACGAAGAAAAATGATTCGAATATTAACAATTATATTATTTATAGTTCCATGTTTTACTCAAATAATTCTTCAAACAGTAGAAATGAATATTAATACCAAGTAAGTTTTATTAATTACTATTTACCTAGGGAAAAACATCTGTTCGTTGACATTTTCGTTTTGTTAGAAGGTTAATCTTAAAATCATCATCAAATATAACATTATTCTTATTATGTAAAACTTGAAGATTCACACTTTCGAAAGGACATTATCAATTAAGGAAAAAAGAAAGTTGGATAGTACTTTTCGGTTAAATAAAATATGACATAAATTGCTTTGCATTTTTACAAATATACTAAATGATTATTAATTTTATAATGATTTAAACGTAAATTGTATTTTAATAGCATTGATATATTAGCAAAAAAAAAAGATTCAACGATTGCGAGATGACATAGAGTCTTTTAATATAATTCTAATCTTATTCATGGAGTAAAAATATCATTTTTCAGGTTTATTCTTCTTGCAGTCAATCAATTTTTTTCAAGTGTTGATGCATATCCAATGGTATTTCTTTTACTTATGGAATTAACATCATCTTCTCATACAAGTCTTGCTGGTAATTCAGCTCTTATAGGTTTTACTATTGGTGAAATAATAATAACTTTATTTGCTTATATTGCTCGAGATTGGTTACGTCTTAAATGGATAATTACTTGTTATTTTGCACTTATTTTACCTTATCTTTATTTTGTACCTGAATCACCTTATTGGTTATTTTCAAAAAAGAAATATAATCAACTTGAAGAATATTTAAGAAAAATCGCACAAAGAAATGGCCGTTCAGATAATGAATGGTATCCATTGTATAGAAAATTAATTTGTGATCCTCGTTTAGCTATTTTAAGTACAAAACATGCATCACGAACAAATAAAGAAGTTATTCTTCAACATTTACCACGATTAGCAATGTGTGCATTTATTGGTTTTCTTACAATGTTATTATATATTAAAATCTCATATGGTTTAGCAGCTATGAGTGATGTTGTTAGTCCATATTGGAATATTATCATTGGTGCTATTGTTGAAGGTTTTGGTTATATATCAGCAAGTATTTTAATAACAACAAAACTAGGACGAAAACATTCATTAATACTTTATTCATTATTTACATGTTTATGTGTATTTACTATTCCATTTACAATGACATCTTATCCAATCGTAACAATTATAATATCACAAATAGGTAAATTTACAATAAGTGGTGCAGTATCAATAACATGGATATTTATTCCAGAAATCTTTCCAACATCAACACGTGGTATTGCTAATGGTATATTTGTATTTAGTGGACGTATAGGTGCTATTCTTGCACCTGTTGTTGATGTTGCATTAGGTTCTGAATATATAAAAATAACCTTTTATGTTTATTCAGCATTTACAATAATTCAAATAATATTAATTCATTTTTTACCCGAAACACGAAATCGATCATTTCATACAGATGAAGATGAAGAAAATGATAAAGTTAATCCAATCGAAATATTAAACGAAACAATGAATCGATCTATACCTACAATTTTACGAAACAATAGAGTCGATATTTCACATACACGTTTTTAATGATATGTAAAAAATATAAGTTACAATTGAACTTATTTTATAATTGTAATTCTTAGTAGATAAGTAAATATATATTAAAAAGCTTATTTTTATTTTATTATAATAAATAAGTTTTTGTTGATTCGACTTTCGTTTTTTTTTTAATTTATTGAAATATCTGTCCTTGTTGAATTTTTGTTTATCATATTAACCTTGATATCTATTAAGAAATGGGCGCAATTGTCATCAGTAGTAGTAGTACAACTCATTAACTAATGAGATGTCTCATTTATTTTGTTTCTCGATAATAATTTCTAGCCAAGATGATCAATATGTGCATAAGCACATGTGAAAGCACATAGCGAGGACAAGGTGATGATACAGTCTTTTTTTCTTTTCGTACGTCGATGATATCTACTTTTTCTTCTTTCGCTATTTAGCTAATATAAACGATGCAATATTATTCTGTGTAATGTTGTACATAATTTTTTTTTTGCATCGACAATTTTTTTTTTCGCCCTGTGTTAATATATTTGCATCGTCATTTTTTGTTCTTTTTTGTTTGATCACACGTAAATGGTCCGTTCTCATTGAAATATACAGTAGTAACCTACGTTGTGAGATATTTTATCGATTACATCATACGTTTATGATTGAAAAGAAGTTAAGATGATGCCTTTTTTATATCCAACACAACAACCAACACCATATCCTATTTTGGTTATAGCCAGTCAATCTCATATCGAAGAAGATGATGAGGATGATGATGAAGATGAAGATGAAGATATTGAAGAGGATTATTTAGCATCACCAATGACTATATTTTCAAGAACTATGCCAATTCCAATGACAGCTTTGCCACATTTTGTTCATACAGATGAACAACAAATCCAACAACAACCACTACCACAAACAACGTCTAATTCGGATGATGATTCAAGATTATTTCGTTTACGTATGAATGTCGATGGTTTTCAACCCAATGAATTAAACGTTTCAATTCGACATGGTCGACTTATTGTTCGTGGTAAACATGTTGTACGTGCACCACCTCAATTATCTCAACCATTAACATCTAATTCAGTTATCAATGGAAATGATGATACAGAACCTGATTTTGTTGCCAAAGAATTCAAACGTACATTTACTATTCCATCAAATGTCGATGTACGAAAAGCTCATGCACAATTTTATCCTCAACAACAATTGCTTGTAATTGAAATACCATTTCAAAATTCTATAGATTCATTACAAACAGGAATTAATCGAATACGCATACGTCCAATGGATATATTTCTTACAATAATAACGATTTTATTAATGGATCGAGCATTACGTATAACATATGAACAATTTATGATGAACGAACAACAACAACCACCACCAAATCCATCTAGTCAATATAGAAATCGACGAAGAGTCAATCGTGATATATTCTTTTAATTTTCAGATTTTACAAAAAAAAGTTTTTATACTTTCCACAAAGTGACACTATTAGTTGTGAAAAAAACAAACAAATCTCAACAAAGAAAACTTTATATTTATATTTCAAACATGAAGAATCGTTTTCTCAATTGTATTATTTTATTGATTTTTTTTTATTTACAAATTCTACTATTCATCTTTTATCTATTTATTCATTCGAATAATTCTTGAATGAAGATCATTATATGTTCATATTCTAATAATTATATCAAATGAATCTTATATATTATTGAACTTAAAATCTTTTCTTTTTTCGTATTAGTTATTGTTCGTGATATTCTTTAATAAAATCTAATTTATTTATTATTAAAGACAATAAATGAATGATTATTTCATCAATCTTCATGTGTCAAACTGGTCAAATTGTGTTTGCTCTTTTGCACACATATAACACGTTGTCATGTTTGTCGAGAAGACATGATCATTGAAGATAGAATTGCTTGCTTGTTCGTTCGAACAATAAAATGAACTAAAGAAATAAGAGAGATTTGTGATTAGTAATTTGATTCATATAAGCACGAAAAAGAAAAAGAATGAAGGAGAGAAAGAAAGAAAGAAATCTTATTCCAATGAAATCAAAAAAGAAAAAAAAATTGCTCGTCTTATTGTCATTTGAACGGAAGTTTGTAGTAGTTCAGAACAACACTCGATAATTACTAGTCGTTGATGCATCATGTTCCGATTGTTCATCATTCAACGAACCAAACACTCGCTCGTTTCTTTTTCTCTCTTTTATCTAAATGGTAATTTTCTGTAGCATAGTTAGTCGTCAACAACAGGCCGACTACGATCTAATCTTGACGACGACATCAATCGATTTCTGACAAGACAAGCATTATTGAGTGTGTTACTATCGTTATTGCTGGTCTAGCTTGTGATGTCGATGATGGTTATTTGATTATGCCAAAACCATCCAAAAGAGAAAAATGAGAAAGAAGAAAAAAAATAGAGAGAAAAAAAAAGACATATTTTTTAGGGTTGGACTTGAGGATTATGTTCGACGAACACCACCAATTATGATCGAACAAAGAGACCTTAGATTGTTCTTGCGTATACGAGTAAATAGATGCGCACGCGTGCGCATAACTAGTAAAAAGAGATAGAGAGAGAGAGCGAAAAGGGTTTCATTCAATGAATTCTCTCTCTCTGTCTTTATTCCTTCTCGATGTAATCGCGCATCAATTAACAGATTTGTGTACGTGTATCTCCTGAGAGAGTGTATAGTATAAGACACATAGAACAGTCGGCATACAGAAAAGCAAAACTATTTCGTATTCAACTATAATTCCCTGACCGACAATTATTAGAGACCGACAAACACACAATGCAGACCATCCGGAGACTTTACAATGGACGACGTTTCATATTTCACAGTTGACAAGCGCGCTCGAGAGAGAGAGAGACAGAGACAGAAGAGAAAAAGAATGCATTTCCATAATGGACGGCGCCCGTTATTGTTGTGTTAATATTAAAAACGATTTCTTCTATGAAATGATGGGGAGTGACACATATATATATATATTTTTATATATTATTCGATTATTGACAATGATGATTGTTGAAATTCATTCGTAATGTCATTGTCATAAAACACCTTTCGTCTATTTACACTGAAGTATTTGTGTATGTATAGATGTTTGCATTCATCTTGTACGAACAATGATTTTTCATAGGTAATATAAAATCGAATTTCTTTATTTAATAAGCGAAATATATTAAGATCCGATAAAAAGAAAAGTTATGTTCTTTATGTTTAGAAATCTTTTAATTTTGAAATTCTTATACCATTAGATAATACCGAAGATATAAAAGCAAGTGTTTTATGTGTACATCATTCTCGCAGGGTATAAATGCCATCATTTCTTCCCTTACTACATATACAATCTCTGTCTCGCTCTCTCTCTCTTCTTCTTCTTATTTCGGGTTGTGTTATTATTACCCGTGTTATTATACTTTCTTTCTCTATACTATTCGAATGTTGCTTGTCCATTGAATCATCATTATCATCAGTCGATCGATTTTAATCTTAAATCCAAATGTGTATACAATCGACTAACGTGCTATCACTCGTCATTTTATTGTTATCACTGCGTTTTTCTATTACTGTTGTCAAGCAGCAGTATCAATAATCAACGAGCTGTGAGACGATGACGACGGCGTCCTGCATTCATCATCTCTTCAACTTCCCGCTTTTATCTCGTTTCTCACTCAACTCATTTAGCAGAGACTCATTCGCTTGGCTTGCATACTTCATACCTCTTGACTAATAAAGAGAGGAAAAAATAGAATAGAGAGTGAGAGAATGAGGAATGCCTCCAGATGTGTTCGCTGTTGGTTGTGGTATCCGATCTAATTGAATTAGAGTGAGAATGCGCTTTTTTTTTACTTTATTATCATTATTATTATTATTATTATTATTATTTCTATTCATTTCAGATTGAAAAAAATGTTGTCCGATTTAGTTGATGATGAGCTTTTATCTGGATCTGCAACATTACCAGTCTCAACAAAACCGATGGTTAATATGACTAATACTAGTAAGTTTCGAGTTCTTTTTATATGAGTAGGATAGACACGTGGAATTCGTGATGACAATTACATATGGAATCTAACGCATGTCAGATGTGTTTGTGTGTGAGAAAGAACAACACTCACATACAGACTCTAAAATTACCATCATTTGGATGCACGCTCGTTCGCTTTCGATCGATATGTGTCTGTTAAACACTTTGACGCCCGGATTATCGTCATCATTAAGACAATCTTATTCATGTCTCCTGTAGAGAGTATTTATTGACGACTCTGCACGAAGTCTTTCTTTCTTTCTTTTTTTTTTGATTGTATATCAAAGCTTACAATCGTTTCAAGACACATTTTTAATTTATATTTACTTGTGCAATATATATATGTATATAATAAGAGAGAGAAAAAATAAATCTATCGATGAACTTTTCAATAAAGTAATTAAATGGATAAGAAATTGAAATGATAAAGAGATTAGTAATCAAATAAAATCATATCGACCTTGGTCAAATAAGAGTTTCAAGTGTAATTTATTCGTCTATTTTTCTTGATTAGACATTTTTTTTTGTTTAATCCTATAATTTGTCTTTGATCGGTCGTACATACATTGTCAATCAGAAAAATAACATCTGCCATTCTTATAATAGCACATTATATATATATGTTCTTCTCTATTCCGATGTTGAGATACTGGTAGAAGAAAGTAATTAGCATGATAGTCTAATTCAATTTTCTCGTCCTACTCACACAACTAATACTATTATTGCTTATCTTGATCGAGCGGCCCTATACATATGGATGGATTTGATTAAACTCACGTACACACATATTTTTAATGAATTTTTCACACTGATTGTTTTTCTCTCGTTCTCTCGATTGCCGTGTGTACGCCAAACATATCCCTTACTAAAGTAAAAGATGCATAGGAAGAACGTCACTGCTTCCTTATCGTTCTTTTCTTTTCAAATGACAATACCTTTATTCTCATTGTTATTGTTGTTGTTATTCTTCTTCTTCTTCGTTTTCATTACTATTTCGCATAGATATATATATAAAGATAATCAATTGTTGTTACAATATAAGGTAATACATGGATATATGCATATATATAAGATATGTATGTCCCCGCGAGGATCGCAAATATGAAGGAGAATAATACTAAACAAAATAATTATATTATAATTCTAATTAAGTTGCTCAGTTAAAAGGTAATCGTGAGTACAGGGCTTTTTTCATCGTTCTGTTCGACATAGTATGTAGTAGTTTGCCTCTTTTTTTTCGTGTCCTATCCTGTATGCATAGAACACATCATAACCGCGTGGGTTTTTTTTCTTCGTTATATGCATTCACATATACATACGCTCAACATTCGTTTCTGTGAAGGAAAAAAAAGAGCATACTAATAAATATTGTACCAACGATTAAAGATATCCATTAATGGTTAAAGCAAGTCGAATTATAATGCGTGATCGAACCGTTCCTACTACATCAGGTAAATAAGCAAAATGTTACATTATATAACTAAAGTGTATCAACTAAAAGCTTTTCGAACTACGAAATCGATAATCACTTTTAGACCACTAAAAAAAAAGTCAACGCTCTTGACATTCAGTCTGTTGAGATTCTTTTTTTCTCTTTCTCTCATTTTTGCTCAATGCTTTTATCCATCAATCCATTAGCAGTTTGTGCTTTTTTTTAATAATGACAATCGATTCTGCGTTTTTTTTTCTTTATGACAAACGGCGAACGACATTATGTTGTCAATTAAAAAAAAAGGAAAAAAGAGCACTTTCTGGTGTTAGTTCTCGTCTATCCGAAGAGAAAGAAGAGTGAAAATTGAAAGTAGAAAGAAAGAAAGAAAAGACGAGATTGCATACTTGACAAATCAATTTCGATGATTAGAAAGCAAAATAGACTTGACTGACAATGACACAATACAACTAGTAAGTTTCAAAATTGACAATTTTTTTTTATATTTCTAATAAATGATCTAATACATTACAATGATTCAATGATCAATAGATTTTATATATATTATATACACATATGTCTAGCTAATTTGAATTGTCATTAGAAAAGTAGACATCGACCAAGTTCGTTTTTTTCCTCTTCTCTCTTTTTTTTTCAATTCAAACATTCCTCTCTTTCTCTCCTCTTCTCTCCTCTTGCCCTCGTCCGGCCATCATATATAGGAACTCGAAGCCTATATCTCTTCTTCTTCAATTCATTAATTGACGACGTCTATTTGTAATATGATGGAGAATAGAAAAATAGAATCATAGTGATGTTGGTTAGTGCTTGTATGATGATGATGATGATGATGAAGAACACAGAGAAGGGAAGAGAGAGGGAGGGAGAGAGAGAAGAAAAAAAATGAGACCAAGTTTTGTTTCTCTGCACAAACGGGACGAGACGAGAGCGAACACATAGCCAGTCAGCTTGACAGAATATCATGTGCATGTATATATATAAAGTTATGTACTAAGGTACTGAGTGAATATAAATATATATATATATGCTGCTTAACCACAAATATTCATTTATTGGAATCAACATTATATAAACAATATTGACAGAAACATTTTATCAATAATTATTAATCAATTTTTATGATATTATCATGCGTACAGGTAGATTTTAATTAAAAAAAAAACGAGAAATAATAAGAAAGGCATTAACAAAACTTGACGTAAAAAAAGATATTTATATGAAGGAAACAATCTAAATTTAATTTATTCTATTTGTTCAAAAAGAACTAAGAACAACAAAAGAAAATTGCAATTATCTTCAATAGAAATTTCAATTTTGTTTTTCTTTCATCATCATTTATCAGTTAATATTAACAGATAAATATTAATTTTTTTTTTCTTTTTCTCTGTCATTCAATATATTCTATTCCACAGAGACAAACTTCATTATTAGAATGGAGAGAGAGAGAAGGAAAATATATATATATATAATCTATCTATCTATCGTTGAATAGGATATAAAATAGTTTTAGTTACAAATAGATTAGATTTTAGAAATCGAAATATATTTTATAGATTAATCTAGAAATTCTCTTTTTTTAATTGGAAAAAAATAATCATGTCAATCATTATTTACAAGTCGTTAACTATATGTAGTCGTGATCTGTTCTTTGTTATTTCTTCGTTTTTTTTTCTTTTGACACCTGCTTCAATGCAGACCAACGAAAGCAAGTGTAATTAGAGTAATTGCCTAGACAATTACTCGATAGGATGACTGTTCTGTTCGTTTTTACTGTTTGATACAGTCGACAAAGATGTTGTTATTTCATATATTCATCTTGTGTAACCATCATCACGCTGATAATGATTTTTTTTTCTTTTCTTCTGATCACATTTATTGAGCTCTTCTCCTTCCTCCTTTTTTTCCCTCCATTGTCTACATGTGTCAAGTAAAAATAGAGAATCTATTCTCTCATCTCTCGCTCATACACATGCACAATCGCCATCGATCATCGTCTCGTAATTGGAAAATAAATTGAAATCGAGATGTAGTAGTAGTAGTAATAATAATAGAACGAGGTACATGAATATTGATTACCCTGTCTTTATTCATTCTTTCTAGGCAGTAGTAATAGTGGTGGTGGCTCAGTTGTATTAATGCAGCCTAAATTAGAATCACAACCGGTTGTCTTCGACCAACAACAACAGTCGAAAATGGTACCTATAGCTCCTCGTTATGATTCTCAACAACAGTGCTCAACAATTGGTAGTGCATATACTTGTTCACATTGTACACAACCAATTCATGAACGTTATTTATTATATACACAAGATCGTTTATGTCGTGGAAATTATTGGCATATGCAATGTTTGCGTTGTCAATGTTGTGATGCAGTTTTAGCTGATATATCGTCAACATTTTATATCAAAGATAATGCCCTACTTTGCAAGTCTGATTATATTAAGTAAGTCAACGAGAAAAGAAATTATATTTCTTTCGTTTATATTATTGTTCAAAAGAGAAAGGTTTCATAGATACGAAACATGTTTAATAAATTGACAATCACAAAAAAGAAGGATTCATTTCTTTGTTTAAAATGAATAGAATCTCAATATGCTCCTCCCCTTATATCAACATACATAAGAAAAATCTTTCAAGAGTTCATTCTTGAGAAAAAAGGATAGATACGTTTTTCAATTAAAAGAAATCTTATTAATTAAATATCTATTACTTTATTTTTTAATCTAATTGATATAATTCATACATCTATTTATTTATGATTAATAGTAACGAAATTATGTTTTTTTTTCTTTTCTAGACGATATGGTAGTCGTCCATGTTCATTATGTAGTCAAGTTATTGGACCAAATGAACAAGTTATGCGTGTTAGTCCAAATTATGTTTATCATCTTCATTGTTTTACTTGTATTAAATGTCATGCACGTTTAGTTAAAGGTGATCGTTATGTTTTT